TATAACATTTCTTAATCTACATTAAATCAATTGAATGGGTGGTTACCCGTCTATTTAAGGAAGCTTATCGGCGAAAAATTTGATATTCATCCAAGGTTTCGAGTATAAATATCAGATTTTTACTTAGTTTAAAGCAGTTTGTCGCATCAACCAGTTAATAAGCAGTACTCTACTCTTACGACAATTCCAATCGCTGTATTTTGGGCAGACAGTTCAATTTTCTCAATCAGTTGATATTTTTAATTTGATTAACACAAACCAACACTTCTCAGGTTTTACTTTTTATAATTTCAAAAAGTTTCATTGAAAGTCTTATAAAATCCTATTAATTCCAGATCGAAATGAAGCCAACGTTGGTTATTGTCATTATTGCCATTTTGGCTATGAGTGTTTTTGCTCCAATCGTGGTTGAAGCTTGTTTAAAACATGACTCGCCATGCAGAGGAACACATGGAAGCCAAGCAGCTTGCTGTCCCGGCTTGTATTGCCATAAACCTAATCCAACATGGGCACTAGGACGTTGCTATTACCGATAGTAATATTTCGTCCATATTATCGACATCCAAATCTACAAACACTATATGGTTTAGCCATATTAATCGGGACGAAGTACTCGATTTTTAACTGCAATAGTGAAAAAAAATGAATATTGAATAAAAACATTTAAAATTGAATTTTAATATTGTTTGATTTTTGTATTCTTGATTCAATTGCAATAATTCTTACGATAAAAGCTTTTTTTTGAATTGATTTATTTCTTTAAATTTGCACAAGTTAAGTTAAGTCGGTCATTTCATATGAATAGTTGAATAATGATTTGGTCAAATAAATTGATTCCTTTCGAATGTGTTTACTCTCCTCTTCTTGTGCTTTGAGAGCATTCAGTTGGAATAACTTTATTGATGTTGATTTGTATAGTTCAAGCCAAATTGGTTTACACATTGCCAAAGAGTCATTGGCTGTTCATCAAAAACAAACTTATGGATAAGATTTCAATAATGCGATGTAAAAACACGTAAAAATGTATGACTTTTAT